CCAATTTTTTGTAGGGTTTTTATCATAAATGCATGTTGGATTTTGTCAAATGCTTTTTCTGCATCTATGGAGATAATCATATGGTGTTAGTCCTTGGCTTTATTGATATAGTGTATTACATTGTTTGATTTTCGTATATTGACCCATCCCTGCATCCCTGGGATGAATCCTACTTGATGAGGGTGTATGATCTTCTTGATGATCTTCTGCATTCTGTTTGCCATTATCTTATTAAGGATTTTTGCATCTATGTTCATTTCCATTCTTTCAAAGAAACAACTCTGTGTCATTGATCCTTTGTATTGTTAAGTCTCAATTTCATTAATTTCCATTTTGATCTTTATAATTTCTTTCCTTCTGTAGTTTAAGCTTTGTATTGTCCTTCTCTTTCTAGGACCTTGAGGTGCATCATTAGGTTATTTACTTGAGAATGCTCTATTCTTTTTATGTGTGTGTTTATAACTTTCTTAAGAACTGCTTTCCTTGTCTCCCATATGTTTTGGTATGTTGTGGTTCCATTGTTATTTGATTCTAGGAACTTTTTAATTTTATCTCTGATGTCTTCTGTGATCTATTGATTACTCAATAACATATTATTTGATCTCCTTTTGTTTGCATAGCTTCTGTGGCTTCTTTTGCTGTTGGTTACTAGCTTTATTCTGTTATGATCCAATGGTATGCAGGAGATTATTTCATTTCTTTCGTACTTATTTCACACATGCTTTATGGTCAAAGACATGGTCTATTTTGAGAAAAGTTCCATTTGCTGTTGAGAAAATGTGTAATTCTGCTTTAGGACAAAACACTCTGTAGATATCTGTTAAGTCTGTTTGTTCAATGGTGTGGTTTAACTCTGATGTTGCTCTTAATTTTTTTGTCTAGATGACCTGCCTGTGACAGTAGGATGTTGACATCCTCCACTATGATTGCATTGGTGTCTATCTGTCCTTTTTAATAATTTTTGTTTTATGAAATTGGGTGTGCCAACATTTGGTGCATATTTAAAATTGTTATCTCTTCCTGTTGAATTGTTCCCTTTACTGGTATGTGATCACCATCATTTTCTCTTCTAGCCATTTTTGCTGTGAAGTTGCTGTGTCTGAAAATAGGATAGCTACTTCTGCTTGTTTTCAGGCTCCTGTTGAATGGAATATTGTTTTCCATGCTTTCACTTTCAGTCTATGTACTTTTAAATGAGGTGTTTCTCCTGTAGGCAATATATATTCATGTTTTGGTTTTCTATTCAATCTGCCAGTCTTTATCATTTGGTTAGGGAATTGAGA